TATATATATATATATATATTATATATATATATATATATATATATATATATATATATATAATATATTACATGTATAAATATTTATATATACATGTATATATATACTATATACGTATACATACGTATACGTATACAGGTCGGCCATCACTAATCCGGCATCATTGGGACCTGTAGTGTGCCAGATTAGCGAGTGCTGGAGAACAGAGTGGTTAGGTTAGAATACACTTAATTAACCTATCAATAGAGAGACTTTCTGCTACATCATCCTCATTTTCATCACTTCTTTCTCCTCAACTGGCTTGCTGCTGTGGATTTACAACCATATGCACAATTTCTGAATCAGTATAATGATGAAATTTGAGTCAGAATAATGATGAAATTTGAGTCAGTATAATGATGAAATCTGAAATTATGCTAGCCGAAATTAGTGCCGGATTACTAATGGAACTGGATAACTGATTGCAGGATTAGTGATGGCCGATCTGTAGTACTTTTTTAATGCTATTTAAATCATTGCAGATTCTGCGAGTGGAAAAAGAAGAAAACATACCTTGACTAAAACAGTAGCTAATTCTTTCCCAGGAAGGTGACCAGCCTCAGCATACTTGTAAACTAATGGGACAAAAAAAAAAAAGTTATCACCACAAAAAAGAAAATTAGAATTCACCTTATAAAATAGGCACCATCACTGGCACAACTGATGCTGAGTCTTCCTTCTTTGAAATTTTATAAAGAACTATGAATGCAAATAAGGAAAACAAAAAAGTCTCTTGTTCTATGCATGGTTACTTTATAGTGAGAAAGCATAAAATAAGGAGTAACTTGACTTCCTTCAAGCTAACAGTCCCATTGTAAACATCAAATTAATTTGATGTTTACATCTGAGAGACTGGGAAGACACTGGTACCCTGCTCTTTTATGGACTACTTGACCAATTTATAGGATTAACGTCACAATACAGTAGAGTACAGGAATTAGCCTTTCACTAAATCAGGCATGCATACTGCATATTTAACTTTTGCCAGATTTAATTATTCACTTTGAAAGGCTAATACTAACTCACTCTAAACTACCTAATAATAAATCCTTTTATAACCCCAAACATAGGAAAATATTTTTCTCCTTTTAATTACTAATCAACTAACTTTAGCTTACCAGGTCTAGCATTCTCAGGGACATATAAATTTAAGAATTTTCCTTTATCTAAATTTTCAATCCATTAATTTCTTATCACTTTTTCTTATTGAACTGTTCCAGTCATGTCATTGGCTTGCATTCCTCTAGGCCCAAAAGTAGTGTACAGAACTTAATTAGCACATCTCACTAAATACGTATAAGAGTGACTGAACGTATTTCTATCACAACAGTACTGTACTGAAGTAGCAAAATTACTTTACTGAGGAGTTCAGCTTTCCCAAGTTTCTTTACTGTTGCTGAATAAATTATATTTTTATTTAGACAAGTAGAGGATCCGTGGAGGTACTTGAAAAATTATATTTGTTTATAATGCTAAAATTTCTTAAAAAAATTAATTGGAAACATGAAGAGAGCTGATGGAAGAACATGTGAATGGTTTGCACTTGAATATTTACTCCTCCGATGCAGAAAAATATTTTACTATAAATTTTTACTTTCAATGAAGAGCACTAAGACACTAAATGGGTCAAGGACTTTGTTCATTCCAATCTCTTATAGAGCCCATAACTAATAGCTATATAACCCAAGCCACTGACAGTTTCAGAGATGTATTTTGGACATCTCTGATTGCCAGCTAAGGGATACAGAAGTACAATACTGCACACTTGTTTAGACTTAGCTTCAGTTAAGAAGATATGTATAGTATTGGTATTGCCACATTAAGATTAAACATAGCAGATCACCATTCTGTGATGTCAAATCATGTTTTTACGATTTTGTTAATCATGATAAGTATGGCAATTCTGGCCTCAACAGTACAAAATGGCCATAAGTGAAAAGAAAAATAACAAGTTTACTCCCCTGTATCATGCATCCTATGAAGATAAAATAAAATAACTAATCTTACACTCACAATAAAAGTATTGTACATTGGGATAGGAATAAAGTATGCAAATGATAAACAGGAATAAAGGGAATATATACATAATATCTAACAAAGACAGAACTTGCTATAATGAAAAGATTCAGATTTAGAAAGAATACTGTAAAGCATCTGTCTTATAATAGAGTTGTAGATGATTAGGAATAAACTATCAATGCCCTTGAAGAAATTAATAAGCATGTCTCCTCAAGATAAAAGTAATTTTTTTTATGTAAGCAAAGCCCAAATAAAAGCTTGCAAAATTCCATTTTTTATGTGGCAAAAAACTGTTTTAAACCATAAATTTACCCACTCTCACACCCATTTATTGCATTTCTGCAAATCAATGACCTTACTGTGCAAAGCAGAGTGAAAATGGTGATAACATAGATCTCAAACTAATTAGAGAAGTAAATTATAGAATTTACAAAGCACTTTCGATAATTAAGAGATTAACAAGATATAAATTTTCAATGAAAATAAACCAGCTACTGGGGTTTGTTGGATTATCCATGGGCTTGTTGGGTTATCCTACATTCAATAAACTTTCACATGCCCAACAGTGCTTATATATTGAATGTTTAACCCAGCATATCTACTACCTTATCATTATCATTTCTTGTTCTCATCTTAACATAAGGAAATTCTAAATTAATGCATCATGTTATTCTGATTATGGCGAGGTTAATAAAATAGAGCACCTTGTCAAATTAAAACGTGTCACACCTGCTAAACAAGACAATATTTTCTTTAGATTTCTATCCCAGAAGGTTAGCCACTCAGGATAACTCAATAAAGCCAAGGTTTCAAGAACTGTCAGTCATACTTCTGTTGGTGTCCTTGAACCTTCTCCCAAGGAAGCAACCCACAACAGCTGATTAATACCCAGTTGCTTACTTACTGCTAGATGAACAGGAGCAGCAAATGTAAGGAAATGTGCCCAACATTTCATCTATGTCAGGGAGTGATCCCAGATCCTTTATTTTCTATATCCTTTCTAGATCTAAATTTGTTTGACTTGAATCCATCACTGCTATGAATCTACCTCTCTAAACACACAAATGTCCTCTGAAGTAAACAAACAGAATAACATCAGTAATATATGTAGGCTGGAAAAGAAGACATCTAAACAAATTCCTTAAAGTCATTATTCACCACATATGTCCCTGAGTACATAGAGCTGAGGTCACTACCAACTGAGCCATACACATTTATGTCTAAATCAACTAAATTTAAATAGATACCAAAAGGAAATAAGCAGTTTTAAATGATGTCCACATCACATTCTCTGATAAATAACAATAAGGGATAGCTCAATGTTCTCTCTTGGTTGGATATTTTCAGTATGTTATTTATATCCCAATTATTAATTCTGGTTTTTCCTTTGTATACTTGTCATAGGCTACATATTTCCAGAAAGTGAAAATTCGGTATCTTCAGCCTATATTTAGAGGAGAAGTTTCTGATGTTATCCTTCTCCAAGAAACTTGTCAGTGTTGTATATCATTATTATTTTTCACTGTCAGACAATGCAACACAATGGTGTCTCTGTACAGAGGATATCTTCGACCTGACCACCAGTTACAAATGAGAAGTTGGATTTGAGAGGGACCTACCCAGTACACTTGCTGCACTGCCTCTCAATTACTGCATTATTACTTTTACTAGTGGAACCTGCTTCTTCTGTCATCTTCAAGATTTTCTGCACCTCACCTTTGGCAGTATATAAGTCTCCAATCTGATGCTCCAGCTTCACATTATTCCTGACAATGGAGCACAACTCTTCTCCAGAAGATATCAGAAAATATCAGAAACACTGATATCAGAAGATATCAGAAACACTGATATCAGAAGATATCAGAAACACTGATATCAGAAGATATCAGAAACACTTCAAGAGAAAACTGGACAAATATCTTCACCAGGTGCCAGATCAACCAGGCTGTGATGGATATGTGGGGCAGTGGGCATCCAGCAGCAACAGCCTGAATGACCAGGTTAGCACCAGATGAGCCAGGCTCTGGGAGTAGAAAAAATCCCTCAAAACTCAAAAGGTATATTTAGGCTGAGAGACTGACCATCTCAAGACTATGCCTTCAAGGGTGATGGACTCATTACTTCATCTTTACATCACTGCTTATGCTGACTCCTCATTACTTGACTGAAGAAGCCTACTGTATAGGCATAATGTTTCAAAATAAGGATACCTAATTGTTGCACAAGTTTTACTTTTCAAGGATACACCAGAAACCCAAGTAGTAAATAAAACATTATTTGGCTTTCTGTGTTATCCTGAAGAAGTATGGTATCAGAAACCTTTCCTACAAAGATAGGCTGAAGGCAATGAATTTGTACTCTGGAAAGACTTGCATAAGACCAACCGGGCTGTGGTTTGTATATTGGTTTACATGCATCTAGCAGTAACATCCTGACTGATCAGGCCTTGATCCACTGCGAGGTCTGGTCATGGACTGGGCCACGGGGGCACTGACCCCCGAAACACCCTCCAGGTATACTCCAAGATGTATACAAATGGAAAACCAGAATCAATAAAGGGGATATAAAAAATGTGCTGAAAGTATCAAAGTAAGACAGGACTCAGCAATTGGTTAGAGTTTGTCAAGTTTAGATTTAGAAAGTAGATAAAGAAGTATTGGTTTGGCAACAGAGTGGAACAAACTCTCAAGTAGTCTCAATGAAGCAAAAACTTTAGTTAGCTTTAAATATAGGCTGTATGGGTATGAGTGAGTGTAAGGTAGAGATAACTAGCATGGGTCAATAGGCCTACTGCAGTATTCCTTAATTTTTTATCTTAACAGGATTATAATAATAAACCTGTGCATAATGAACCCATGATAATTGATATGGGTATAGTGTATAAAATACTTGCATACCTAACCTAGAACAAAGCTAAATCCACCACAAAAAACATGTTAGATAAACTGGGTCAGTAGGAGCAAGGCGGGACATAAGCCTAAAGCACTCGTTTGTCTACACTGAAACACCATCTTAACCACTCATCTTCAATTTCATATTGCTCCCTCTCCTCGGCAGTCTCCATACGAACATGGGCAGCCAACCCACCTGACTGCACTAGACTGAGGCCTGGCATCAGGTGGTACAAGAGTTGCTACACCATCACAAGACGACGGCACCACAAATCGGCAACGGTGCCGAGGATAATGTGCTTCAGGACTCACCGTGACCAACGCCACCCTGGCTGCAGAAAATGGCGCCTTGGCTGATTTTTTAGGAAGTGCGGGATGCTAGGGGTGTTTCAGAAGGTTAAATACCCGAAGAGGCTTTGTAACTGTGTGAAATAGAGCGTCTAGAGATGCCCCAAACAGTTCGGCTTAAGCCAGGTGCTCCTGCGCGCGCCTCTTCTGTTTGTAAACAAACTATGGTCAGAGGGGCACAAAGGACCTTCAGTAAGCTCCATATACCATATTACTATTTTAAAATGCCCTCTACGCTACAAACGCCTTCGTGCAGTCATTTATTAACAAAGTAAATTCCTGGTGGGTAGATTCTTTTCATGGTCGCCACGAGAGAGAACGGATAAGATAATGCCGCGCAGGGGCGTCTATGTTATTTTATCTGCATTACTTCCTCTTCTGCAACACAATTGCAGGAAAACTGTCTACATTTCATTATGTGTCACATTAATTAACTGACTCTTCATTTATTAAAAAAATCCATTTTGCCTATTTCTCTATAATCTGTCTTATTTTTCCACAATGATAAACTTTGAAATAATGAATAAGCTATCACATTGTTTATATTATTACTAATTATATATAATAATGTAATTACTTTCTTTTATATATTTCTACTTTCTTTTCTATTGTTTATTGCGATATATTGCTGGATATTCCTAGTCTTGCCAATTAAAGCTCATTTATATAATGAAATTATATACTATAAAATTAAACAATTGATTAAAAAACGTGAAATAATCGCAGTAAAGTAATATAACCATTGATATGAAGTCCAAAACTATTCGTACAGCAATTTATTCCCAAAAAATTAAATCTGCGAGAATACGCCAAACTGGCCATAGTGGAGAGGCAAAATGGCGTCACAATTTCAAGAGGAAACTTCCTCTCTAGATATGTTCTCTCAGTCCCTCTTACATACACTCATATTGATAATAATTACAGGCGCCTCAATAACACTGATAAATACTGTAACAATGACGGTGGTGAAGAGGGACATTATAGCAATTCACATGTAAATTGGTAATAGGGATCATTATGATAATTATGGGACCATGATGATAATTATAGTATTAATGATTATTATTGTGATGATGATGATGGTGTGGTGGTGGTGGTATTATGGTGATAACGCTAAGAATAATAATGACAATAACAGGGAAGATATTGACGAATGTGATGGCAATAATTGATAATAATGACAATAATGGTATTTAGAGCCAACACTTACAATGATTATACTAATACTAATTAAATCTATTATATCAGTTAACAGTGCTGACTGACAATAATAACGAAGGTAACAATGGTGTGTAAAAAAAAAATTCCCGTGAAACATTATTACTAAAAGCTCAGGGATCACACGACACCAGATAAATGAGTCAACCTTGACCCGAGAAAGGCTTTTGTTCCGCAGTTCCTCGGATCAAAAGCCTTTCCCTCTTGAGTGAACATGCCATTATGCAACAAGGAAAAACAACGTCATCTTCAATAAATGCTACAACTCGCGGATCGAAAATTGCAGGCGCGCGCAATTTTTTTTTTCTCTCAGCGGTACCGTGAGTGCGCAGGGCAAGTGATGTCTGCCCCTCCTCTTTAATGGTATATAAGCACGCACCACGCTGCAGGAACGAGGAAATACCCTGTTTCTCCCCCCCCCCCGTCCCCCACATATACATCTTTTTTAACATATCGGCCACTTCCCACTGAGGCAGGTGACCTGACAAGGAAGAAACACTTTTCATCGTCACTCACTCCATCACTGTCTTGCCAGAGGCACGCCGATATTACAGTTAAAAAACAGTAAATATCTCCACCGCCTCTTCAGAGTGCAGACACTGTACTTCCCACCTCCAGGACTCAAGTCCGGCTAACTGGTTTCCTTGAATTATAAATTCATATGTATGTATGTATATATAACACGAAATTGTCCAGGATATCCAATAGCTGGGCAGAGTGCTGCAACCCTCTCCCCTATCCCCACAGGATATATATTTATATCTGCAAATCAATCCTGCAGCCTCCCACCCCAGACGCTGGCAGCTGTAAGAGGGAAGATTGTCTTCAAGGAGACGTGTTATCTACATATATAAAAAAGACTTATTCAAGGCTTCTGGATATGGATAATGTACTTTGCCTGTGGTCATCTACCCAGAATTTGAATACTTTCCTACCGAGACTCAATGATCTTGATCCGTCTATTAAATTCATAATTAAAAGGGAGGTGGATAGTAAACTCCCGTTCCTGCCCCATCCACACATGGGATACATGGAAGAAATCACAAAAAACGCGTGATTGCAGACATGTACAACTACCACAGTAACAATAGGGAAAAATATAAGAGTGCTTTCATGTGTTTCACACACATATATTCAGGGGAATTGTATTATTATTATTATTATTATTATTATTATCAAGGGGGAAGCGCTAAACCCGGAGGATTATACAGCAGGGGAATTGTAAATCAGTGGAAATAAATATAAGACTGCCATCCCTACGAGCCCTTTTAGGGCGGGGCAGATGGCAGACCAGAGGCCTAGCTTCTCCCTACGAGCCCCGTGAGGGCGGGGAATGTGGCTAGGCCTGGGGACAACTGGTCCCAAAGATGAGGGGGTACTTGTACCTCCTCCCATGGGAGGAGGTACAAGGCCGGGTCACCACTACTTGGAAAAGACCCGGGCCGGGAGAGTACCGGCGAACAAAAAAAAAAAAAAAAAAAAAAAAAAAAAAAAAAAAAAAAAGTGGAAATAACCTGTGCCAAAATAAATTTACTTAATCCTGCAGCCTCACCCCAAGCTAGTGTTAGTCTCAAGAGAAAAATTATTTGCAACTGGACAATTCACAGGATATCAACCTATCACCAGGATCATAAGACAATTGGTACAGACTGCAATAAGATATTGGCTTTATCAGTTGTGTAATTTACCATACGTGTGTGTTCTTAAGATTCGTACCAATTTAAACATGTTTGTGAAGCCTAATTAAAAAATTAACAAGTCGCCTGTATGGTAGCGACTTTCTCACAATGTAATTTATATGGAATATGATTGTACCTTGCTGAGGATGTATATAATTTTGAGACTTTAAAAATGTTGTCCTAGTGCCTGATATATACTATACATGACCTATCCTCCATACACCCAAGTGTGTATGTCTCAGTGGATATACATATACCTATACTACGCAAAGAAATAAAAATTTTGAATTTGGTAAAGGAACTGTAGCAGTCGTATTGGGTCAATTATTATAATTATAATCATGGGGGAGCGCTAAACCCATAGGATTATACAGCGCATGTGGGGGGAAGGTATTCAGGCTCAATTCAGGGAACCGGAGCACAGATCCAATTCCCTAGATCAAGAGCCCCTCACCAGCGTCAAGGAACCTCCCTTGAAGGGCGTATTGGGTCAAGCTAGGCAGATCTAAAACTCACACTCACACTCACCCACACCTTATGTACTTGCCCAAACTATTTTTTGAAGGTGTGGAAACATTGGACGTGTTTCCTTACACCGGTTGTCTATGTTACCCATCAGTAAAATGGGCACCTGGGTGTTAATGGACTGGTGTGGGTCGCATCCTGGGACAAAACTGACCTAATTTGCCCTAAATGCTCAGCATAACAAGCGGCTTTCCACATAGTAGTATGTCATTGATGTCAGCTAGGCCTGTATACCATGTACATATACTATAAGTATAGGGAGTTTTTTTTTACTCATCCACAACTCTTACAGCCAAAGCTGTGCTTTTCTATCTCCTTCCTCAGTTTAATTTTTTCCAACTTGAACCCAATGCTGCGAGTCCTATCATGGTTAGGTATTCTCAACACGTTATTTATATCCCTAATTCTACGCCTTTTCAGAGAGTGCAGATTCAGTACCAATACCATCCTCACAGGAAAGATTTCTGATACACCTAAATGTTTGTGTATCAGTATATTTTGATAAGACACATGTGTATCAGTATATACACCTAGATGTGAATATCAGTAGATATACCTAGAGGTGTGCCTTAGCATATATACACCTAGAAGTATTAGTGTATATACACCCACAGATATGTAAGTGTATACATAAATGTGTATGTCATATCGGGAGAAGGAAGGGGGAGGGGGTGATCATCCTTCACCTCCAAATAGTTACTTATTATCACTTATAATTTCACTTGGCACTTTATGCAACCAGGATATAGTCCAGAGAAAATGATGTGCACACAGCTGGCAAATAAAAAATATACACGAATAATAAAAGTATGAGTAACAATATAATAAGCATTTGAGTTATAATTTATTACACCACCAAAAAAGGAACTGCAATATAACTAACAGTACATAACTTAAAAATTAGATATGGACTGCGGAGACCACTTGGAGAACGCAACCATGACTTTCTACTACACCGACCATGTGGGAAAGTCAAACATAAGTCAGTAAGTTTATTCAGGTATACACAAATACAGCTACATAGATTATCATACAAAGCAGCATATGTGTAGAGAACCTGGGATAACCCAAGAAAGTCAGTGACTTATTTCCATTGAGAGGTATCTTAGTTTGGTGAATAAAATACATAAACAAAACAAACATTTATTTCTTTGTGTAATATACAAAATATAGTTAAACACAAAGAAAGTCACTAGAATACATGTGCAATAAGCTACTCAAGGTCTGCCTGTGTCTTTCCATCAGCTTCTTGGTATTGTGTACCATCAAATTTATATGAAAGTATCTCATTGTATTATGCATTTCGGTGTATGTGTGTCTAGAGGTGTATATATCTCTCTCCGTATATACACTGAGTTTAATCTCTTATTTCACAGATTCAAGTATCCATGACTGGTTTACATGTGCCACGTTGCTGTTCTTCGTGTAGTTGATAGGTTATAAACCCAATAATCCTATGTTTGTCTTTCTGTCATATTACTTTTAATTTGTCAGTATATGTTTAATGTCGTTATTATTACAGTAGCTCCTGCTGCTCCATACATGTTGAGCTGTCATGACTGGTGTCATCGACCGCCTCTAAGCCCGGTGCAGCGTGTCTGCCCCACCACAGGAGGCCCCACAACGGGGGGCCAGTGGCCTTACAAACAGGGGCCAGTGGCCTTACAAACAGGGGCCAGTGGCCTTACAAACAGGGGCCAGTGGCCTTACAAACAGGGGCCAGTGGCCTTACAAACGGGCCAGTGGCCTTACAAACAGGGGCCAGTGGCCTTACAAACGGGCCAGTGGCCTTACAAACGGGCCAGTGGCCTTACAAACGGGCCAGTGGCCTTACAAACAGGGGCCAGTGGCCTTACAAACAGGGGCCAGTGGCCTTACAAACGGGCCAGTGGCCTTACAAACGGGCCAGTGGCCTTACAAACGGGCCAGTGGCCTTACAAACGGGTCAGTGGCCTTACAAACGAGCCAGTGGCCTTACAAACGGGCCAGTGGCTCCACCACAGGAGGCCCCACAACAGGGGGCCAGTGGCCTTGCAAACGGGCCAGTGACCCCACAACAGAAAGCCCCACAACGGGGGGGGGGCAGTGGCCTTACAAACAGGAGCCAATGGCCCCACCACGGGACCAGTGGCCCCACCACAGAAGGCCCCACAACAGGGGACCAGTGGCCTTACAAACGGGCCAGTGATCCCACTCCAGAAGGCCCCCACAATGGGGAGCCAGGCCCTACAAACAGGAGCCAGTGGCCCCACCACAGGAAGCCCCACAATGGTGGCAGTGGCCTTACAGAGACCAATGGTCTTACAAACGGGTCAGTGGTCCCACCAGAGATGACCTTACAAACGGGTCAATGACCCCACCAGAGGAGGCCTCACAACAGAGGACCAGTGGCCCCACAGAAGGCCTCATTATAATCATGGGGGAGCGCTAAACCCGTAGAATTATACAGCGCATGTGGGGGGATGGATTCAATTCCCTAGATCAAGAGCCCCTCACCAGCATCAAGGAACTTCCCTTGAGGGGCCCCACAAACAAGCCAGTGGCCCCACCACAGGAGGCCCAACATAGGGGTCAATAATTCTATGCAATTTTGTTTTATATTACACTTATGGGAAAATATTAAACTTGTTGGGATCACAACGCATGTGGGGGAGGGGGGGAATGAGACGCCATCAAGTTTACATAAGACGGGAAAGATGAGATTAATTCCTTGAATCAAGAGCTCACCAGCATCATTGAGCCTCCCTTGAGGGACTTGCTACATTATAGATGCCAGTGGCTTCAAGGGAATGGCCCCTTCATACTGAAGTGCTTTTGATCCAAGGAATTTGTGCTACCATTTCCAGTACCTTTATTATTATTATATTATTTATTCAGGGGGGGTATGCTAAACTTGGGGTCATGCAGCATCTGTGAGGATAATGTGGGGCAATCAAATTAGATCCAAGGAATGGGAAGTTGGTCCAGTTCCTTGGATCAAAAGTCATTTCTGGCATCAAGGTACCTAAAGGGGACTGAGGGGTAGAAATAAAATAGTGACAATAGGTGCAATACTGACTGGAATACTCTATCAACAACAATTCACATCAAATTCATTTTTTTTAAATATTTTTGAGACAGTTGGTAGATAGGTAACTGTTAATCTTCTGGTAGTGTTTCATATACATATTTGGACCTTTTATATGTATGGAATTTCTACTAAGGCTGAGCTGAACATGTGAGATATCAAAGACATTTGTTTCAGCTTTTTTCTGTTTTTAACACACTGGCCATCTCCCACCCAGGCAGGGTGACCCAAAAAGATAAGAAACAACTTCACCATCACTCACTCCATCACTGTCTTGCAAAAGGTATGCCAATACCTCTTGCAAGACAGTTCAGATGCCCCTCCAAACTAATATCCTCACCAGCTCCTTCAGAGCGCATTCACTGTACTTCCCATCTCCAGGACTCAAATCTGGCTTCTAGTGTCTATACATAATATTATTGCTCTTCAGTTAGAGTTGTAACATTGGTTTGATAGCATTTGCATTCAGTGGCCTGTATAGTATACACAGCAACAAGTGTGAATATTTTGTTTGTTCAATAAACTTAAAACCTTTGAATAGCAGAGCCTTATTGAGTGATCCTTCTAAAGGTAGAGTTTTGTTGGGCTATAATTTGTTTTAAGTGATTTGTTATTGCCTGCATTAACAAATCACTTAAAACTCATTATAACCCAACAAAAATCGTCATCCACATTGGAACCACACCTGGGGAACAGATGATAATCTGGTTTGGCTAATTGAAGAGTAGTTCCAAGTTCCTGGATCAAGAGTGCTTCATCAGCAACAAGGCACCCAACTTTGAAGTCTCATACATAGGTTATGAACTTTGAAGCCTGAGATGAGACACTTCAGTAAGGCGATACTTATTATTATCACCATAACAGAGGTCATACAGTGCATGAGGATTGGGAGAGAATCCAGTTTGATCAAAAAAAATGGAGGATACCTAAAATTCCTTGGATAAGTTGTCATATTCTTGAGGGGAGTAAGGATTATGAAAATATCACCTCACCAAGCACTCAGTTTTGTGTGTCTGGCATTTTAATAGGGAAGCACTAAATCAGTAGGGATCATATGTCAGAGAATGGGAGGTAGTCACATTTGATTCAAGGAATAAAAGAGCAGCTCCAGTTTCTTAAATGAACAGCCCTGAATCATCATCAGGGCACTCTTTCTGAGGGGTTTTGGAATATTATCAGTGCTGTATGACCCTGGCAATTTAGTACTTAGTTTTGATAATAATTTGAAATATTACCATATTCATGAGAAGTGCCCAACCCACAGGGAACATAGAGCATCTGGGAAATAGGAGAGAATCAGGTTTGATACAAGTGCAAGGTATCTCAAATTTCTTTGATCAAGAGTCCTTCACAAGCATTAAGGTACCCCTCCTCCCTTAACCATTAAACTGTCCAAACGTAGATCTGTGTTGACGTGCATAGTGCTCAGAACGTAGAGATACGTTTTTTTTACATGCTTTCTAATGGAGAAAATAAAGTTGGAGCGCTACGCATGTTAACATAAATCTACGTTTGGACAGTTTAAGGGTTAAAGGGATGGATAGTGGGATAAATGAGGTTATTTTGTTACTATTAATATATGTACTATTATTTTTATACTGACAGGTTATACAGCACTTATGATGCTAAAAAAATATACTTACAGCACATTACAATACATATAATTAAAGAGGATAGGTGTAAGCACCCATGCATGTGAGGAAATCTCAGAAGCCTACAACCTATAGACCCACATACAACACAGAACATAAACACTGTTGTACTCTGTCACATCTTATTGCCAAACATCCTGTTGACTACAACAGGTACCATTTATTATTATCATAATCATAGGAAGTGTTAAACTTGCAGGTGTCATATAGTTCCTGGGGAATGGGAAGTACTAATCAGGTTTGGAAACAGGAATCCTTCACCAGCATTAAGGCCCTATAATAAGGCAAAAATTTAAACCCATTCATAGGGCATAGAGAATTTATTGAAAGAAATGGGATACAGTAAGCAAATTCCCACAAGAACCCTTACACCAAAATACTCACAGAGGAAAGGCATATGCACAGCACACAAATAACCTTCATATGAGACAAACTTGTGATGTTTGTTATCATAAGTTTCAGTTAATGGTACAACTTGAACCATTAACTAAGTCACACATATGTACAGATCTGGGAAATTGTAGGCTCTTACTCTTATTAATATAATTATTATTATTATCATCATCATCATTACTAAAATGTTCATATGGAAGCACTGAACTCATGAGGGTTTAATGTTTCTTCTAATCTTTGCATCATGAGCCATTCACCAGGATCAAGGCAATCCTTGATGGGAGTGGTACAGTAAATGAGGGATGTGATCAGAAGTGTACCAATCTCAAAACTGGCCCGGGAATCCGTCGCCTATCAGGTCGGTTCATTAACTTGCCTTACCTTGCTTAAGTAAGGCATGTTCCATTTTTGTTTCAATCTTTGCACAGTGGCTATGACTTCAATTTTTCATGACATTTTTTTAACTCTTTTTTTTTTTTTTTTTTTAACCCAGCCCAGTGGCCCATTGGACATTGCCCAAACACCCGTATGACCAATCCACCTCTGGATGTAGTGTCCCAATGACAGAGATAAGCCTATCATCAGCCAGGTCTTGACTTTTGCCAGACTCAAAATTGGCAAGGTAAACATTTTCCTCCTTGCTAGAAAAGTCCCATAAGGTGAGGGCTGTAACCTGACTGGTTCTATAATTACAACAAACACATGCCTATGTAAACCTTGGTAACTGATACCAACAAAATGGTTTTTAAATAAAACATGTGGAAATTATTTCCATGAGTTATGGCTTATAGCTGCACTATGTGGTTACAATAAGGGCAATTTTGATGTTATTCAAAATAAATAATGAAGAGAACAAAAAGATTTCATACATGGGACACAGAAGACTATTATTATTACATTATGGGGAAGTGCTAAATCTATAGGGGTCATACAGTACCTGAGGAATGGAAAGCAATTAGCTTTGATTGAAGGAAAGGGTAGGGTAACTCCAATTCCTTGTATCAAGAGCTCTTCACTGGCATCAAGGTATCTCCCATTCTTGAAAGATATTGACTAATATGATTTGCTTGAAGAGATCAAGAGGTGAGACATGCAGGTTGAAAGTGAGAAGCAGTCAGAATAGCTTAGATTAAGAATGAGATACTGAAAGCAGGTAGGAAAAAGCTTTGAATTTTTTCATTATGTTCAAGGCAAGTGCTAAATAAAAAGCTTTAGAATGGTTAATGAATTTGATAAATGTGAATATGAAAGATGGGGTAGGAGTCATCCTAGGAATAGCTGAAGGGAGTAAAAAAGGTTTTGAATGCTAGAGGCTTGAGCATCTGGGAGGCTTGTGAGAGTGTGTTAGATTGGAGTGAGTGGAGACAAGTAGTTTTCATGGCTTGACATACTGTTGGAGTGTGAGCAAGGTAATATTTATGAATGGATTCAGGGGAACCAGTTAGCTGGCTTTGAATCCTGGAGGTGGGAAGTACAGTGCCTGCACTCTGAAGGATGAGTGAGGATGTTGCAGTTTGGAAGGTAATTTGAACTTTGATGTCTGCACACTTTTGGCAAGACAGCTATTGAATGAATAATAGTGAATGTGTTTCCTTTTTTTTTTTTGGTCACCTTATCATGGTGGGAGACGGTTGGTATGTTGAAAAGAAATAAAAGTAACTAAGGATTACTAGAGAGCATGTATAGTTTCTTTGAATACACTGTGCCAGGTAGTGTTTGGCTGAAATGTTATTGAAAAAGTTATGATAAATAAATAAATAAATTATGGAAAAAGATGGATATATTAAGAGAAGGTGATAGGTTAATTAAAAATGGATTTAGTATTTAGATTGCTAAACACTGACAATCTTGACTAGCAGGGTTGGCATTCATGGTACACACATGGAGAATCTCCCAAGTTTCTGCAGTCGGCTTTACAGATATAGGCTGCCTTAACTAGTGCAGCTCAGGGTATCTAGAGGGCTAGATCCCTTGACCATAAATAGCGGCTGTTTGCAGAAAGAAGTAGGGAATGAGTAAATATGTATTTATTCACAAAAATATGCTAAACTCAAGAGGGTCATAAAGAGCTATACATCAGGGAAGAAGAGATATTGGGAGAAATATTGGAAGAAAAATCTGAGAGTACAATAAGTCAATGGGGGTGCAAAAGACAATGGAGATATAATTAGACTGGGTATTTAATTATGTTAAAGTACAATGAGGAAATGGGTAATACAGTTGTGCAATGAGTGCCATAAAAGTCAATAGGGGGACAAAAATTTCCATGGTCCCATTGCAATAGAGCCATGAACTTGACAATAAACCTAGGTGTTATGACAGAACAATAGCATTGCACAAGCACTGACCTGATGCATAGGCAACAGTCAAACAAACCAGTAACTTCCTTAATGTATGTATATAGGATGTACAAACAAATAAAAAAGCTAGTTATTATTAGTTATTATTAATGCAGTCATACAGCAGGCAAAAGTTTGGGGGAAAAAAATAAGAGGGAGTAAAATCATTGGAAATACATAAAGTGGTTTCTGCATTTGAAGAGTGCTTTGACCATGTAGATCATTCAGTGTTTTTGGTATTAAAAATTATATAAGCACATAAGAAAACAAATGACAAAATAAACAATAAAATCTACTAACATATATAAAACATACAACACAAATAAATATTGTACTATTATGGCAGGTAAAAATAATAGCATCAGTTAAAAAAAATTCCATTAAATTATAAATACTGAAACAGATAGTACACTTTTAAATTTAAAAGTTCCCTGATATCTCTACAAGCACCTTGGTGATATAAAATCTGTGATGCACATGGACAGGAATAAGCCACAGGTAAATTCTTAAACCGTGTTCCATAGTTAGCTACACAATGGTTGGGAGGGGACACACCCGTGAAGATGTATCTATGGGTGAGATACGTGCCTGATTCTCAACTGAATTAAAACCAACACTCACATCCTATAGAAACTTTTATAACATGTGCCTCTCATCTGAGGGACCCACAGGGTTTACTGGGAAGAGGGAAGAGTTGTTGAGTATTCTGACTTGATTCAAGGAAGAGGAGGATAGCTTGTTTCTCAGATCAAGAGTCCTGACTTTTAGAGCTGAACTTAAGAGAACAGATGTATTCTTTTTGTCACTGGAGCTTAGCTCATGCTGAGCCCTGGGGATCCACTCCAGCAATTCACCTTAAGCCAATAATAACACAACGAAAAGTGTCTGTACAAATGATGACCCATTCAAGTGCCAGACAACACTGTCCCACTGTTGAAAATTCTAAACTTACTTAATATGCATAAAATGCAATTATACTACTGTATATACTACATATACAAGACAGTCAATTCTAATATCAATCCTGCCCTGAAACTCTTTCTTGACAGTTACAACAGAATTCATAGGCATGTTACTAGACACAAAAATCTCTTATGATATTCCCGCATCTGGCTCAACTTTGTAAAAACTTAGTGCGCATAAAAGCACCTAACATCTTGCTGGGCAGGTCTTACTTAATTCGAAACATAATACGTATCTTCCTCTCTTTTGACACTATTGTTTGTTTGTGTGTGTGTGTGTGTGTGTGTGTGTGTGAGATACAGTGTCACAAGCCAAAACGATGATGAGAACACCTGAACTTCAATAAAGGCAGCCATAACACTATGTACAGTAAAAGCCCCATAAAATGGACTAATAAGGAGGGGAGAGGAGGGGGAGTCTGATTCCATTATAGTAATATAATATCTTTATTCCTATAAGTACATATACAAGGCATACAGGCCCAGTTGACATCAATGACATATTACTAACTAGAAATCCGCTTGTTATGTAGAGCATTTCGGGCAAATTAGGTCAATTTTGCCCCAGGATGCGACCCACACCAGTCAACTAATACCCAGGTACCCACTTTTACTGATGGGTGAACCCACCACCAGGCCACAAGCCACCGTTATATTGAACATTTCAATTAACCCTTAAACTGTCCAAATGTAGATCTACGTTTTTTCAACATTTGAAAGTATGTAAAAAAAGTAGATCATCTTTTTTTTTTTTTTTACATTTGAAAACGTGTAAAAAACTTTGATCTACTTTTTTTTTTGTTATATTTGAAAATATGTAAAAAAAAACATATATCTACTTTTGGAGCCCTACGCATGTGAATGCAGATCTGCTTGGACAGTTTAAGGGTTAAGCAAACTTAATCTGCTAAACTGATCAACTACCAGACATGGACAAATGTCCATTTCAGGCTGGCTAGCCTCAGAACCCCAAAAGTAAATGCTAAAAGTACAATAAATTCTCATATTTTAACCTAATGCAAATGACGAATAACATATATTTAATAGATGTATAACCTATTGTATAATTAGTGCAACCTTATCATACTATGTTTTGTATGTCAAGTGCTAAGTAATCAGTAATGTATTAAGTTTAGACTGCCCATAATGTGAAGGCATGACAGTGGCTCTCTTTGTATTACAAATCATTGTAAACCCTCACTGTAAACTACCTATGTAAATATACTTCCTAAAATATGTCAACCACATTGTAAACTTGCAAAGAAATAAAAGAATTTGAATTTGATTTGAATGATAGGCTAACTGGCTACCTGGCTGGTTGACTGGTTAGTTGACTAACTGGCTGGCTGCCTGCTTGCTCTTGCTTGCCCTACCTGCCCTGTCTTGCCCTGTCTGCACTTCTTGTAAACAATTATTTTGTCTCTGGTAACATAATATCTTGTTGGACACAGGCTTATCTCTACCACCACAATGAAAATGGATAAGTCCTGGATGAAGCCTGGACTGTACAAACTTACGATTAAGTGGAGCTGATCTATTTTAATGAGTGTAAGACTGATCTAGACAGCATTTCGATATTGCGGATTTGGTCTACTTCATGGCTATTTTAATTAGACATCCCGTTAAATGTACGTTGAGCCTTTGTCTGGCCACACTTCTTTTAAGTTTTATCCAACATCTGCTTGATGGGGGTATGTTTTATTAGACTTAAACTGTGTAAACTTAAAATAATAAAACCTCATGATTTCTGTTTGAACTTTTTTGTATTTTTTAAGCAGTATACAACAGTGTTTTAAGGCTTCTGTTGGTTACTCTCTTTCTTTTTCTTCTTTTCACTTCCTTCTAAAAATATGTGGCTCCTCAAACAAAGTACTTGAGCATTCAATTTATAATTCACTGCTGTTCCCTGTATATGCTGTAGTCAATTATTTCTGTAGTTTAACAACAAGTGTACCTTATGTATCGGTACAGTAGAAATGTATAAAAGTTTATATACAAATTTCCCTTATTTTATGTGGGTACGCTTTATCTGAATTCACTAAATGGGATATCACATTTTTATCAACAACTGTGTGTGTGACATACATAAACCATCTGTGATAAGTGCAGTTTGCAAACAGTTTGAGGATTCTTATTACAATACTATATTTGGATTAATTGTAGATAACCTAATTGATATTAGTACACCTGTCATATGCCTGGATTACATCTACTGCATAAATTGAAGAACACTTGTATGTAGAATTAATATATTTTTCCAGGATACTATTAGTTCACAGGGCAAACATCATTTCTCAATATTAAAGGCTCATTTCACACCTAAATGTGAACTGCTTTTGATCTCTAGTAAAAAACTAATAAACTATCATTCCGATTATAATAAAATTTTGAATGTAAGTCCACCTAAGGAAACTGTATGCACCATGAAAGGTTCAGATACCTGTTTAGTTACCCCTATATGTACTGTAATTCATGCAAGACCGTTTATGTTACAATACAGTGGACCCCCGGTATTCGATATTAATCCGTTCCTGAGAGCTCATCGAATACCGATAATATCGAAAACCGAATCAATTTTCCTCATAAGAAATAATGGAAATCATATTAATCTGTGCAAGACACCCAAAAGTATGAAAAAAAAATTTTACTACATGAAATATTAAGTTTAATGCAATAGAATAATTACAATAACAATAAAATAACTGACACTTACCTTTAATGAAAATCTGGTGATGAGTGATGGGATGGGAGGAGGGGAGAGGTGTTAGTGTTTAGAAGGGGAATCCCCTTCCATTAGGACTTGAGGTAGCAAGTCCTTTTCCAGCGTTACTTCCCTTCTTCTTTTAATGCCACTAGGACCAGCTTGAGAGTCACTGGACCTCTGTCGCACAACAAATCTGTCCATAGAGCACTGTACCTCCCGTTCCTTTACGATTTGTCTAAAATGGGCCACAACATTGTCATTGTAATAGCTGTGTTAGGGTGATTTTCATCCATAAAGGTTTGCACTTCAACCCACTGTGCACACATTTCCTTAATTTTTGAAGTAGGCACAATGTATTCCACAACTGGTATAGGCTTCTCAGGGTTAGCCCCAAACCCTTCAAAATCTTTCTTAATTTCCATACTAATTCTCACCCTTTTTACCACAGGGTTGGCACTAGAAGCTTTCTTGGGGCCCATGGTGACTTATTTTGCAGAAACAAGCACCAAACACAGTGATAATATGGATAATATGGAATGTACCGAATGTATCCTTAGATGCGCGCACACTGGCTGGCTTGTAAACACTGGCACACAAGGGGCAGTTCAGGCCACATGTGGATAGGTCTCGTACGAATCGTATCGAATACCAAGGAAAATTTTTTGCGATATAATGCATCGAATACCGGATTTATTGAATACCGATGCCATCGAATACCGGGGGTCCACTGTATTATCAAATTATATTTTTCTTAATATTTAGTATTACAATGCATAAAAATTTTTATATTGCCACAAAAAAAAAAAAAAAAAAATTCTGCAAATTTGTGGGGATTTCCGAGAACAATTATTAGTTAGGTTTTAAGGAAATATCCGCGAATTACTGAATACAGTACCATGTTAAAAGACTGTAATACAGTACTATGTTAACCCTTAAACTGTCCAAACGTAGATCTACGTTTTTTCAACATTTGAAAGTATGTAAAAAAATGTAGATCTTCTTTTCATTTTTTTTACATTTGAAAACGTTTAAAAAAAACTTTGATCTACGTTTTTTTTATAATTGAAAATATGTAAAAAACGTAGATCTACTTTTGGAGCACTACGCATGTGAACATAGATCTGTTTGGACAGTTTAAGGGTTAACCCTTTCAGGGTCCGTCCCGTAGATCTACGGCTTTACGTTCAGGGTCCAAACCGTAGATCTACGCCATGAGCTCAGCTCACTCTGATAAACTGTGAGTGGTACATTTGGGCCTAGATATGAGAGAATACATCTATGTGGTATGTGTGCACCACATAAAACAGATCCTGCAGCACACTGTGTATAATGAGAGAAAAAAAATGAAATCATGATTTTTCGATTAAAACTTTTCGATTAAAACAGCAACTTTGCAGTGTTTTTTCGTATGTTTTTTATAGTTGTATTTGCGATTTCTTGGTCTCATTTGATAGAATGGAAGACATATTACAGAAATAGAGATGATTTTGATTGGTTTTAGCACTGGAAATGGCTTGAAACTGAGCTCAAAGTAGCAGAAATGTTAAATTTTTGCCGATATTCAAGAGTAAACAAACGACCTCACACGTCTAATACACATCAGCTGGTGGGTCTAATATACATTCACAAATATGGTGATGATATTTATACAATTATTACAGTATTGCATAACAGTAAATCTTCTATTTTTTGGTGTGAATAAAAATTCATTATGTGAATAAAAAATCAAAATGGAATTTATTTGTAAAGCCTCAAAACATAACTAATGAACAGAGGAAATGTTAGTTTAGTGCCAGGAATGCCTACATTGTTCATTCTGGACCCTATTTTGAAATTGGAATATTTTGAACTTTGTGTTAAATTGGCCAAATTAACAATTTCCGATCACTTTATTTTGTAGTTGAAACAGTTGACTTGGCGATTTCTTGTGCTCAATCGATAGAATAGAAGTAATACTAGTGAAATAGCTAAGAATTTGGTTGATTGGAATAATGTAATTGGCCTAAAATGGGAGTCAAAGTCGGCAAAATCGCCGATTCGTAAATATCGCTGACACATCAAAATTCGCGAGAGCATAATTTCGTCAATTTTCCACCAAATTTCGTACTTTTTGTTTTATTACCTTCACAAAAAGATTCTCTACGATTTCATAAGAAAAAATAACAAATTTTTTTTTTTTAAATTCTTGGACACTGGTGCGTGACTCCAGATTTGGGCCATGGACCCTGAAAGGGTTAAAAGACACTACATTACCAGTTAAAATCAATATTTTATAAATCTTATTAAAATACAGCTGATACAAAGTATATACGTATTTATATACAGTGGACCCCTGCGAATTCATGGTTCCAAATTCGCGGCTTCAGTAATTCGCAGATTTTTCCTTAGAACCTAACTAATAATTGTTCGCAGAAATCCCCGCAAATTTGCATAATTTTTTTTTGTCTGTTTTTGTTGCAATAGTATACAAAAGAAAATGGGGTTGCATGAATTACGGTGGGAGACGGCCGACTTGTTAAAAAAAAAAAAATGGAGGTAACATCGGCATTTTACATTCTAGCACTGTGGGAGACATAGTAGTACAGTACAGTCTCTCCTCACTTAGCAACGTACTCGTTTACTGACGCCTCGTACTTACGATGGGCTCTCTGACCAGCATTCATACCTAAACAATGTATATTAGAGCTGATTTCTTCTATTCTGTTTATTTCAATATGTAGCACACTACTATATAAACATTTAAAAATACATCAGAAAGGTTATAAATGGTGCAAAGGTGACATTAACCCGTAAACGGTCCAAGCAGATCTACGTTCACATGCGTAGTGCTACAAAAGTAGATCTACATTTTTTTTTACATATTTTCAAATGTAACAAAAAAAAAAGTAGATCAAAGTTTTTTTACACATTTTCAAATGTAAAAAAACAAAAAGATGATCTACTTTTTTTACATACTTTCAAATGTTGAAAAAACGTATATATACGTTTGGACCGTTTACGGGTTAAAAGCTGTACTGTATACAGGGGTATCTTTACATTCCTTTTTTTTTCTAGGGGTGATGTATGAAACTGAGTTTGAAATTAAAGTATTTTGGGGCATATTTAGGGTTTAAACTTAAAAACAGGCATTTAAAGACATTTTTTTAACTGAGTCCAGAATTCACGGTTTTTCCAAATTCGTGGGTGGTCATGGAACATAACCCCCGCAAATTTGGGGAACTACTGTATTTCATAGTTTGATAATCATTTAAAATTTTGTCAGTCTTTATAAAACAGGTAATATACAGCCTCTCCTCACTTAACGACAAAATTCTGTTCCTAAGACCATGTCAGTAAACGAATTCATCGCTAAGTGAGGAGCATACTATAATGGTAGTGGGTTTGTGTCAGCCATCTTTGATATTGTTTTAATGTCACCTTTGCATCATACATAAATAAAATACAGGAAATCAGCTCTAATATACATTACGTATTTAGGTACGTATACTGGTCAGAGAGCCCATCATAAGTCCGAGTCATTGGTAAATGAATACGTTGCTAAGCGAGGTGAGGCTGTATTGTTAATATAAATCTGTTGCTAATAAAATGTTTTATATTATATCCACCAAGAGAATTAAGTATGAAAAATAATTTTTTTGATAAGCTTGCGAGATTTTGGATTAGCATTCTTAAGCCCAATTCTTTCATTTTTGAAACCAATATTTGAATCAAAACCTTCCACAGGATTTGGTATAAAATATATAACAAGGTAGCAATATTCACAAACATATGATATAGTGAAATTGGTGATATTTAAACTAAACTTGGAAGGACAAATGACAGTGTAACACTCGGGGCATGATTCTGGACACGACTGGCTTGGGTATTTCACAACCAGGTACCGGCCATCTACTGGAGTGTTCACAATACAAGGCCCTCTTAATCTGCTGGATTTTCGAAGAAATTTTGGAGGTTTAGGCAAGGGACTATATGAGGTTAAATCCTTTAAATTTACATTATCATCCAAATAACTGGTGTTCCCTGGACTTGATTCCTTTTCTTCAGTCAGGTTAACAGTTGGGTGAAATTTTGTTTCATGATGCATGTATTTAATCTGATGTAATGCAGACCTCCAGGGTGGATATGGTAACAGAACATCTAACTTAGAAATATACTGCTCAACTTCCTCCTTTAACTCTTCATTCGTCAACACAGTGTGTATGTCTTCACAAAATCTCCTGATGAGCAAGTCTTTCTGTATATTATATGTCAGAAATTTATTTAGGTCGTGAGGCCAATTTTGAAAACTGTGATCTTGGCCACTATGACATAACCCCATAAAAAGTGGGTTCTCTGATAAATTCATCATATCACAGCTGACAATTTCAGCAGGACAGGAAGTGCATGAAAGTCTCCCAAAATATAAGTGAGATGTAATATCCTTTCCACTCACATTATTGTCACAAACGTAACAGTAAACCTCAGGAGATTCCAATAGATTGTCAGAAATTTGTATTTCCTTTTGCTCTGAGGTTAACGACTTTAAGGAATTATCCATGAGATCATGAGAGCCTTGAAGAATGGATTTGGAGGCCATAGTTATAGACACTGGTGCAGTGGATGTGGGTGTGGTGGAGGTGGGTGTGGTAGATGTGGGTGTGGTGGATGTGGGTGTGGTGGATGTGGGTGTGGTGGATGTGGATGTGGTGGATGTGGATGTGGTGGATGTGGATGTGGTGGATGTGGGTGTGGTGGATGTGGTGTGGTGGATGTGGGTGTGGTGGATGTGGGTGTGGTGGATGTGGGTGTGGTGGATGTGGGTGTGGTGGATGTGGGTGTGGTGGATGTGCGTATGGTGGAAGAAGGCATGGTGGATGCAGGCATGATGGATGTAGAGGATAAAGTGGACAAAAAGGGCATGGTGGTGGGTATTTGTGTGGCAGAAGTAGAAGGTACAATGAATTCACATGGGGTGGATGTAGAATGCACTATAGTTGTAGAAGGTCTAGTTGAGGGTAAAGGCATGGATGATGTGGTTGATGTGGACAGCAAGGTGGAGTTACAGGAATATTCAGTGCCAGAATTTGGGTGGGGAAACAGTCTTAATCCCAAAGATGATATATCCTCCTTCATGTTCAGTCTGTCACTATCTGACTTAGAAAACACAATTTGTATATCCTCATCCATGTCAGTTTCTCTTTGTGTGGTATTACTTCTACTTTCTGGCTCACTAAAGACAATATCTGCCTTTACTTCATTGAAATTTTTGGGTAAAGATCCTGGAGGCTTAGGTATTCCACACAATTCTGAAAAAGACTTGTTATTCAAAGAGTTTGTGAATTCCTCGAGAGTTCCTGCACACTCAGAAGAAAAAACATTACCGATGGAAGTGTTACAAGGTTGTTTTACATTACTTGAGTTCATGTTATCAGTAGCAGGTATGTTTCTAATTTGTTTGGTAAGTAATACATAATCACAATCTGACTGTTTTCCTGAATCCATTCTGCTTTTCTTGCATGTATCTTGAGAGTTGCTATTGCCACATGATTTAGAGTTTTTCAAAAAAATGTTAGCAGAATTCTTTTTAGAGCACATTTTAGCTGATGTATTGTCTGATGGTGGTGTTGTGGGTGGAGTGAGGTTAAGACTTAATGCTTTGTTTAAACAGAAGTCAGATACCTCTGTAGTGACGAGTGTGTGATGAATACTATGTTCTTGTGAACCTTGGCCGAGTGTGGAATTGCTAATCTGATCAGATAAAATGTTGGAGGACCTACTTTTCAGTCTCTCAAGAATAAGATTAGATGTAGGTTTTCTTGCATTCTGACGTGAATATGTTTTCAAGTATTTGTTCTCCTTAGCTCTCTTCATGCGATGAATGGCATGACCTGCTTGTATGTGGGGGGTTTCCTGAATGTCCTGCTGTTCATTTGTCCACTTAGCTTGAGTAACTTGACATTTTTGCTGAAAATTATGTTGGGAAACAGCTACCTGATTTTCTGAGGTAGTCTGCATTTCACCACAAGGTAATGGAATGCTTGTGATTTCTGTTGTTTCCTCCTCTCTTGAATCTGTTCCAAAATCTTTGGCAGGCTGCTTTGGCTGTGCTGGCCTGTCTTGTTGCTCATACTGGTTTTGTTCCAAGTGTTTGTCCTGACCATTTTGCAATTGGCTGACTTTTAAGGTATCCAATTTGGCACTCTCAACAGCCAAGATTTGAACAGTTTCATTTGGGCAGTGAAACTGACTATTTTTAACAGTTTGTTGTGGTTGATGATCTTGTACTCTTTGACGTGATTGTTCAACTGAATCTAGAGAACCATTTGATAAATTAAAATTTAAGGGTCCTCGGCATGTACTTTGATGAAATTGTCGAGAGGCCGGACCATTAACTAATGAGCTATGGGACTGGGACATGTATTTAGAGTTAAGTGATTTTGGTTGATTAACTGAGAATGTGTCTTGGCTGCTTGATTGTTGAACTGAATCTGGAGAGCTAACTGATAGATCAAAACGGAAGGGTTTTGGGCATGTATCTTGATGAAATTGTCGAGAGACTGGATTGTTAACTAGTGAGCTATGAGACTGGGACATGTGTGTAGAGTTAACTGACTTTGCCTTATTAATTAAGAATGTGTCTTGACTGCATGTTTGTGTAGATGACTGCTGAGTGGTAACTTGAGCATGTTTCATCGAACTGACCTGGTACATGTATATGGGTTGTGATCTGTTCTCTAAAGATCTGTGAAGTTGACTTTTAGTGGAACTTTCTGTGGTGGGTTAACAGAAAACATTTGTGAGTTTGTTTTTTCATATATAGCAGGGGGTAAAGATACTGTGTTGGTTATTGCTTGAGTCATTAATTGTCGATGATCTTGCTTGGATTGATTGTACTGTTGCTCATGTGATGATTGTTGTTGAACAACTCCCTTCAACTGGCTGGCTAATGGAAGGGCCTGAGCTAATCCAGTACTGTGATTACTAGAGTTAGGCAAAGCCTGAGGTGCTATTTTGTCATGGATTTCAGTCAGACTTGTTGGAGTATGACCATGTTTTTCCCATTCCAAGTTTCTTAAATTCTCATAAACCTGCCCGAGTCCATCAAAGGTAAAGGGAAGAGTTGAATGTCTTGTTCCTTGCATCCTGATATGTCAGCAGTCTTCATTTGTCCCTGTTAAGATGAATGAAAGCATTCAGTATTTATTTTATTCATTTATTTATTTATTTATTTATTTATTTATTTATGTCTTTGCAAATAGTACATTGAGATTATGTATTTACAATAATGGGTTGCAATGCAAAGAGAGCCTCTATTATGCCTAGGCATTATGGGCCAACTTAACATTAGTGGCTTACTGACTACTTAACACTGCGAATTATATCATAGTTGTACAGTAGAATATTAATTATATCATAGTTGTACAGTAGATTATTAATTATAAGTGAATCTAATTTATATAAGACAAAAGATATATTCATATATTCAAAAACGCTTTGTGTGAAAACAATGATTCGATTATATTCCTGTCGACAATGAATACAAGGTTCAAAAGTAATTGTTGAAATTATGATATGGGAATACATACTGAGTATGTGAGTACTGAGTATTTAGCATTTAGTCTAGGGTGATTAAGTGACTTTTGAGAAGAGTCTTAAATTGATTTTCAGACTGGGTTACTTTAGTATCTTCTGGTAATGAATTCCATATTTTGGGGCCCTTTATGTGCATAGAGTTTTTACAGTGTGATACGGACACGAGGTACATCAAAAAGAGATCTTTGTCTTGTGTTATGGTCATGTGTCCTGTTAAGGTTGGTGAGGAGAAGTTTGAGTGGAGGGTTTATATTTGCATGTATTGTTCTGTGTATATAGTAGGCACATGAATAAGTATGGATGTTCTTAATGGTGATCAGATTTAGACTTTTGAAAATTGGTGGAGTATGCTGTCGGGAGTGGGAATTTATCATCATTCTGACTGCTGCCTTTTGCTGGGTTATTAGAGGTCTTAGGTGATTTAATGTTGTTGTTCCCCATGCACAAATTCCATATGTGAGATAAGGGTATATGAGTGAATGGTACAGTGCCAGGAGAGCTGATTGTGGAACATAGTACCGTATCTTTGATAGTATGCCTACAGTCTTAGAGATTTTCTTGGTGATTTGTTGTATATGTGTCTGGAACTTAAGGCTACTGTCAAGGTGGATACCTAGGAATTTTCCCTCTGTAAGTCTTGTGACTGATGATCCGTTTAGCATTATGTCAAGTGGAACATTTGCAGCTTTGTTTCCAAACTTAATGAAATAGGTTTTATCAGTATTCAGGGAAAGTTTATTAGTCATCATCCAGGCAGATATTTTCTGCAATTTGGCACTGATAGTGTTGGCGAGTATGACTGGGTTTGGGTGGGAGAAGACGTATGTAGTGTCACCTGCAAATAATATGGGTTTGAGTAGCTGTGATGCATTCGGTAGATCATTGATGTAGATGAGAAAGAGGAGTGGTCCAAGGACACTTCCTTGTGGGACTTCTACTGTGATTGGTTGGGTGGAAGAGTTTGTGCCATTTGCATACACATACTGAATTCTGCTACTAAGGTATGACTTTAGGTAGTTGAGGGAGTGGCCTCTGATACCATAGTGTGCTAATATAGAGTACAGCAGTTCATGGTCGACTGTATCAAAAGATTTACATATATCAATGAAAATACCCAGCGGGACTTCTTTCTTTTCGAGTGCGGTATACAGTATATTAGTTCTAGCATGTGTATGATAGCATCATTTGTGCTTTTATTATTCTTGAATCCAAACTGACAAGGGTTTAATATGTTGTGTGAGACGAGGTAGGAATAGATCCTTCTATGAATTAATTTTTCGAAGATTTTAGAGAGCAGTGGTAAGTTAGATACAGTGGAACCTCAAATTCTGAATGTATCACTTATCAAAAGTTTCAAAAATAGAACCCTTTTTTCGAACCAACTTCGTCCCTATTATCGAACGCACCCCTATTTTCGGACTGCCAGGTACCGGACCTGTCCGCCAGCGCGCTTTGTCCGTGTCTCCGCACAGGCGCCGTGAGCCAGTCTGGCTTTGTTGATGCTTGAGTGAACACTAACCTGTGCTCTCATACAAACATTTTACAATTATTTCATTGTGTTTAGTGCTTGTGAGACTGTGAAATAAGCTACCATGGGCCCAAAGAAACTTGCTAGTGATAACCCTGTGGTAAAGAAAGTGAGAAACACCATAGATGTGAAGAAGGAAATAATACATTAGTATGAGAGTGGTGTGAGACTTGCTGAGCTTGCCAGGATGTATGGGAAAAACAAGTCGACCATTGGTTCTATCCTGGGAAAGAAAGAACAAATCAAGGAAGCTGATGTTGTAAAAGGTGTTAATCTTCTTCTTTCAACACACCGGCCGTATCCCACCGAGGCGGGCTGGCCCAAAAGGAAAAACTAAAGTTTTTTTCTTTTACATTAGTAATATATACAGGAGAAGGGTGTTAATATGCTAACCAAAAAATGACCACAAATAGTTGAAGAGGTTGAGAAGTTGTTGCTGGTGTGGATCAAGGATAAAGAGATGGCAGGTGATAGTGTTTCAGAGACGATTATTTGCAAAAGGCAAGGAAGCTGCATGCCGATCTAGTACACAAAACTCCTGGAACCAGTTCAGTGACAGAACCATGTCCCATTTTAGGGAAATGTTAAAGAGGTGCCAGAAACAGAGGACTGTGGACAGTTATTTT